CAGTGGGGGGGGGCAGGGACTGAAAGAGAGGGCAGCGGGTTCCCTCATTGGCTTCTCCATGCCCCGGTCATGGGCCTCAGCCCCAGCCCCTGTGCTCAGTGCACCAGCTCCAGCTGGCTCTGGCCACGCCCCGGCCCCTGCAGCCTGCCCCCCACAGCCGGGAAGCTAGAGTGCCATTTGGCCTGGGGAGAGCGCTGGACCCGGCTGTTCGCTCCATTCCAAGCTGGCTGCGTGGTTCCAGGTGGTTCATTCAGGTCAGTGGCGAGTTCCCAGGGAGGCTCTGGTCTCGCTCTCACTGGCACGGAGCACACGCTGCGTGTCTGGGCACCGCTCTGAGCAAAGGGGCATGCGAGGAATTCCTGGGAGGCTGAATTTCTGTTGGGGAAGCACCCGGGAGCTTCCCTCAGGATTGGGCCCCCTGTGCTGGGGGCTGCACGGACCCAAGGGGCTGAACAGACGCTGCTGAAAGAGCTTCTGACGAGACATTAACACGGGATCAGTCTCCGCGTTACTCACCCCCTGCTGGATTCTTCTCTGTATTCTGAGCCGTCCACCTAGCGCCAGCGGCCTTCAGTGCCCAGGTCAGTGAGTCCAATCCAGTGGGGTTTTGCCTGGGTCTCTATGGAGAGAAATTCCTGCCCAACGCAGATCCCAGCATTACACGTCTGCACTGCCACACTATTTGCAAATCACTAGCGCTCTTCTGAAATAACATCGTCCGTGTCGACAGGGTTTTTAGCAGGCTTCCTGCTTCTAATGTACTTAAAAAACATTTTGTTATTTCTTTTTGAGTTTTTGGCTAGCTGTTCCTCAAAATCTTTTTTTGCTTTTCTTATTACATTTTTACACTTGATTTGACAGTGTTTATGTTCCTTTCTATTTATCTCACTAGGATTGGACTTCCACTTCTTAAAAGATGTCTTTTTGTGGTTAAGCTATGGTGACTCTTTTTTAGGTCTCTTGCTATGCTTTTTAATTTGGGGTATATATTTAAATTGGGCCTCTATTATGGTGTCTTTAAAAAGTTTCCATGCAGCTTTCAGGGATTTGGCTCTA